CAAAACTAAACAACTTATTCAGAAGCTTAACACAGAACCAAAATAATCTCTGTAAATTCTCAAATCATTTGTAAACAACTAGCATCCCTCAGTGAACAGGAATTAATGTCTTTTGATTTGTTCCTTTAAATCCACCCAGTATCCTACAAGGCAATGGAAGAAAATGAATACAATGCATTAAATATTTTTCTGAGAATTAACCAAATTTTTTGATGTCTAAGAACTGATTCTAAAACTTCTGGTCTACAGTAGAATCACCCAAGGAATACATAAAAATGCAACTACTTGGGTTCCACCAGAGATTCTGCTTCACTGCGTGAAGTCAGAGTGCAGGGATCTGTATTTTTAACAGACATTTATGGGATGCACAGATCCCACTCCCACTGAACCTTTATATTTAGACCCTAACTGCATGCCTTTAGGCTTTTAATCTCTGGGATTATTACCCCAAAGGTACACATCCATTTGAATGTCTACTTAGCCCCCAAGGACAGTCTTTGTAGAGCTGAGCTCAATCATTACACAGAAAATTCAGTCTACTCTGAATATTCCTGATTTCACTTTCTAGGTACAGAAAAAAAAAATTTGGTGCCATTTTGTATTTTCTACCCCTCATTTTTATTTAGCCTAGCCACTAATTCTGGGCCATCAAATTCTTAATAATCATTCATTCAAAATATGTCAATTAGATTGAATACCTGCTAAGTGGATGAAATGCATTATCAAAAAAAAATCCTACACATAATCTCTTGTCCTTGTCCTCTTCCACTGTGAAGGAGATGGGCATAAATAATAAAAACCGCAAAATTATGTAATTAGAATGCATAGTTAAGCACTGGGAAAGGGAAATACAGGGAGTGTTGTGTTATAATAAAAAAGTCTTAACTTAGTCTTGGGGGGGAAGAGTCCTTCATGAAGGATGACCGAGATGTATCAGACACATCAAATCCTGTGAGGTCAAGGGAGCACTATTAGTCTAGTCACCCAAAGCAGAAAAGTTTGAATCCTATTCAGTTTCTCTCTCTCTCCCAGTGTAACAAACTGTTCAACGATTCTATGTAAGGGACTCCCCCAGACTGCAGTACTATCTCCATTTCTTCTGATGCATTTTACTTGCTTCATATTTAACCAAAATCTCTCTATAATGTCAAAAGCAACTACAACTACACAATTTGGCCAAAACCAGCCAGTCCAGCCTTTTTCCAGGCTGCACTCTGACAGCATATGCATATAATTCACTCTCATACTTCCAGTGCTTTAAAATATTCATAGAATAAACACTTTGCCAAAGAGGAAACTTTTAAATGACTCATTTTAGGTCCTTTACTAACTGTAAAGTTCAAACCTAACTTGACACTAAAGATCTGCTCTTTCACTTGCACCCCACTTTAAAAATATACATTCAAACTCTATACCTTTGAAATCTCTTACTTCCTTTTTATCATCCATGCTTACCAACAATGCCATACCTGATAGACACATTATTTTATCTCATTTCCATTTTACCTTCACCTCCAAAACTGCTGCTGGAATTATCCTAAAAATTAGAATTTGGCCACATAACTCCTGTATTCAAACATTTCTGTGCTCCCCAGTGCCAAAAGAACAGACACTAAACCCTTTCACATGTTATGAGATCTTCTATAGCACCTTCTCAGCCAGGCCAGCACCAGGGTCTGCAGTATAACATAACCTCCAGGTGCCAAAGCCAGTCCTGTTTAAAACATGGTCTTAGAGCAGCAAGATGCCCTTCTAGAAGATTCTCCTATCACAACCACTGTCTCCTCTGTGTGTTAATGCTTGGTTCTCAATACCATAAAGCAATTTACTCATTTCTATCTTCTGCCTGTACTTTTATACTTTACATTACAGCTATAGTCAGTAGTAAACTCGTTGAAGAGGATTATTTCATTCATATTTTTATTTTTATAGTAATAGTGACTATGTTTTCTCGACACCACTTTTCCTTGGTACTGGAGAGAAAAAAAAGGAGTATCTTAACAAAATGGCTTGAGCTAGCTCCAAATGCAATTCATGTATGAACAAAGGATGATATCATTTCTTCCCACATTAACATAAATTCAATCCATTTACAATTTAACAAACGTTTATTTCATAAACTAAATATATAAGAGTAATAAATAAAGTTTTGTTTCTAATACAAGAATGTCAGTTTTTTCCAAGGAACTTGCTACCAGCTATTCAAGCACAGTATATTTAAATGGTATAAATAACATTAGTACAATGTAAAAAAAAATTGCCAGTATATAATATGCACACCCTATGACTGAAATTTCATCAAGTACAAGAAACAGATATAAGCATTTACGTTCTCAAAAAGACATTCATTGGGATGCTCAGAGCAGCAATATTCTTAATAGCCACAAACCAAAAATCACTAAAATGTCCAACAGTAGAACTGTGGTATAGTCCCAAAACAAATACTACAGAATGGGCCAGGGATTTAGCTAAGTGGTTCCATCGCCTGCTTCACAAACACAAAGTCCCAAGTTCAATCCCAAGTATCCCCCCAAAAAAAACTATACAGAGCAACTATCAAGTAATCAATTAATCAATTAAAACAGTCAACAATAAATCTCACAAAAGCATTAAATAAACAAAGCCAGACATAACTGACTACAGATGTTCCTTTAAAGTTGAAAATCTTCCAAGTCAACAACGTATCCTACCAAACATGTAACTTAATATGCAAAACAGCAGCCCCAATTCAAAGTCCAAGGACCCCACCAGTAGATGCCTGAAACTGTACCAAACTCTGCATTTTTCTTTACCACATGTTCATACCTATGATAAAAGTTTAACTTATAATCAGACACAGTTAAGATGTTTACAGCAATGAAACAAAACATAAGAATATACTACAATAAAAAAAAAAGGGACTGCCTCTGCAAATAGCTGTTTGTACTCTACTTGCACTGTTCTTTTCAGGATGATGTTAGATGGTACTTACAGGAAGCACTTCACAGTTCTTTCTGACATATTCTAACTGCTAGCATGACTATTCTTGCCTTGGGACCATTACTAAATAAAATGAAGTTATCTGCATAAAATCACCCAAACTGCAACAGTCAATTTGATAACCAAGACCAAGAGAAAAATCAAGAACTGAACAGACCCAGAACTGACAAAGTTGATGGAATCAATAGATAAGCATACTCAAATATCTTCTACAAATATGCCCCAAGTCAAAGAAATTGAAAACACGAAAATGAAGTCAAATCAACTTCCAGAAAGGCAATAAAATATCCAAAATTATTTATCATTCCAAGAGGAAAATAGTGAAAGATAAAGCAAACTGAAACACAAAAGACAAAAAGACTGAAAAATAAACAGGATGCTAATGAACTGTGAACAAAATCAAATGGTCTAACATACATTTAAAAGGAGTCCCAAGAAAAGATGAAATAGTGGTTTAAAAACTACACAAAGTAGAAATAACTACTAACAATTTCCCAGATTTGATGAAATCAACATATGCATACATCTTGAAAAAAACAAAAAAAAACCCTCTACAGCTACTGCTGGATAATCACAAACAGTGACAAAGAGAAACCTTAACAATCCAGAGCTGAGTGTGATGGCACACACCTGTAATCCTAGCTCCTTGGGAGGCTGAGGCAGGAGAATGGCAAATTCCAGGCCACTGTGGGCAACTTAGAGAGACCCTATCTTAAAAAATAAAGAGGGTTGAGGATGGAGGAGAAGAAAAGAGTAGCAGCTTCAAGTACTGGGGAAGGAAGATTAAGTAGAATCAAACTTTAAATTCAGAACAAATAGAAAAATATGCCACTCTGGAATTTCAAGTAAAAATATCCTTCAAGAAATGAAGACAAACCATTATACATCCACCTGAATGGCTAAATTAAAAAAAGACTGAAAGCCCCAAATATTGACAAGGATGTAGGATAACTGGTATTATAATCTGGTAATTTGTATAAAATGAGACTATAACACAGTGTTTGCATTTCTAGGTATTTCCTACAAAAAAAAAAAAAAGGCCTCACATATGTCCAAATACTTTTTTCACATAAATGATAATTTCAGCTTCATGCAAAATAGCATAAAATCTGAAAATAGCCAAGATGTTCCTTAACAGAAGAATGAAGTTCCAAACCACTTAAACCTGAAATAACAGGGCTGAAACCCAAAAACATGCTGAGTAAAAAAAAACTTTTTCAATACAAAAGCACTGTATGATTTATTTACATGAAATCCTAGTCCAGTTCTATCTACCTTTATTTGCTCTCATTTTTTTGAGTGAAGAGAAATTGTCTTGTGCCACATAAAAATATATCATTAGTGCACATACATAACAAGT